TTGTCGCCTCAACTTCCGTTGGCTGCACCAAACCATTTACGTAAAACAGTGTTATTGTATCTGGCGTCGTTAAAACGTGCTGTTCTCGCCTTATAAGATTACTATGTGCGAAATGAACTCAGCAAGATTTCTGCTCCTTGTCTCCCAATAGGTTGCACGCCTAATTACGTGAGAATCACGAGAGAAGTGTATGCAGATGGCCACGAAAAAATTATCAAGTTTGTGGAAGGACGCTATGGTGACACCGTGCAATACTTCCGCGCATCAAAAGGAAATTCACCGCCATTGTTAAGTTGTGAGCTGTTGGTGGCGTGTTGAGATGGAAGAATGGGAACTGAAGAGTATAACAGAAGCTACTAATACTGGCGATGACCAACGCCAACTGAAGTTGCTGCTTGATGAGTTGCGTGAAAACAATTTTGTACATGGAGATTTGCGGCCACCCAATGTGTTTCTCCATGGCTCGCAAGAGAAGGTTGTTCTGATTGATTTTGACTGGGCAGGTGTTGCTGGTGTCGACATTTATCCTTATGGGATGAATCCGGAAATTAGTTGGCCTAAAGGTGCACATGGAGGAGCCAAGTTGGATCCAGCTCATGATTTGGAATGGCTGTATCGAATGTTTCTATCCGAATCAAAGTATTGAAGTAAACCTCCATTGTCCAAGCAACGCAGTAAACGGTCGAAACATTGCTACTTAATCTTAGTATTGTTTTTTAACTGAAATTGTGAATTCATGGACGTGTCGTGCTACCTCGTGTGATTCATCACAACACTGAAATGGGCCAACAGAGAACCAATATGTGATAGTGATTATCTTGTTATTGCAATCTTCTACGTTCTTGACGCCAGACAAGTACAAAGTGTTGGTCGTGATGAATGGGAAGTCTGGCATTGCGAGTTTTTTATATGCAAGTCGGCTATGCTGCGCTCAACAAGTTGTGTTCCCTGGTGTCATCTGTATGTATGCTTGAAATATAAGACGAAAGATTGCATTGAAGGTAATGAGGACATTTAGCGCGGCAAAAAGTTGGTGGTTCAGATCAAAGATCCGTTGTCACTTTCTTCAAGAAGCAACTTTGATCACAATTTCTTTGACTAGTCTTCAGCGACTCACCGTTAAGTATGTTGAATACGTTAAAGAGCTGCAATTTGCGCTTTAATTTTTTATGCCTTCAAGAAACTTCTCAAAGTCTTCATTCAAACTTCCAAACATCACTAACATTGGGAACTTCGAAGGCGACTTTCGGTCGAGCATAGACGTCATTGTAGTAAATGCTACATTTTATTTTGAGCAACAAATTGCAACCTCGCGTCAAATTTCGGTAATATGACATCATAAAACGTTCGTGTTTAATGCTTCAATGTAGACTTTTCATAGACGACATAAGGGTTAGAGAATTTTGAACTTTCAACTTTATCTGCAAGTGTCCGTTGCAACCTCGATGATAATTCGCGTCTTGAACATTGTGATGGAACGTAGCATTCTGAAAAAATCTTGTTGTCCCATTGATATTCCAACCGAAATTATGTTTATTAAGTTTCAGAGGTTCAAATTTTATCTTCAGTGAAGACGTATACAAACACATAGAAAAGCGTATACTTCGTTTTACAAAAGATGCCCAAAGTATTATTGTGTGGTGCCGTCCAGGGCCAATGGGAGCTGCTATTCGACCGTGTACGCAAGTTAAATGCTGCCGCTAAGGAAAATCCGTTTGTAGCACTCATGTGCATAGGTCGTTGCTTTCCTCTTCCGGAAGAATATCTCGCAATTGGTGGTAAAAAGCCACCAGTTCCAACATATTTTCTACCTGCGCACGAGTCGACACGGTCGTGGCAAGAAAGCGCCAGTCAGAAGCAAATTTTTGATCGTTTAAATGTATCAAATCAACTTTCTGAACCTGTAGAGGTTGGTGAGAGTTTCTTTTGTCTCGCTCGAGCTGGAATAGCAACTGTAAGAAAGCAATATTATTGACAATTGCGGAAGGAAGTGAATTAATGAGTGAGTGACAGATTGCAGGATTAAAAGTTGCTTATATATCAGGATCCGAATCTCTTGGACAAGAAGACGAGAACGGAACAGTGTTAATGTATTCGAAGACTTCAGTACGTTTGTGACAGACAAGTTGTAAAAAAGAGTTACTGATTTATGTACTGAATTAGGTAGATACCCTGATGCAAGAACTTGTTGCCAATGCAAATCATGGAAATGTCGACTTCTTGCTTACGGCGGCGTATCCAGCAAATTTTCAATTGTTGCTCCCAGAAGCGCAACTTCCTGCGAGCTTACAAAATCTTCAAGGAAGTTTGGCAATAAGAGACTTCGTGATACAAGTGCATCCCAAATACCATATTGTTAGTGATGGAGATGTTTTCTATCAACGATTGCCGTACGTGAGCACAGTGAGTGGTACAGCGAGAAAGCAGCTCACGCGTTTAATCGGATTAAGTAGTGTTAATACGGTGAAGGATAAGACGCGCAAGTATTTGCATGCTTTACAAGTTGTACCTTGCATGCAACTGAGTGCCACAGAGCGGCAACATGTTGACATTCCAACTGGCACGACACAGAATCCATATTTGTATGCAAAAGATGACACGATTAATTGGACAGTACGTGATGCAAAACGACGTAAGGTTGCAACTGGTAATCTCTCGGTTGAGCAGATTCAGCAGTTAACGGCAAATAGTGTTAATAGTGCACAGTTTTTTTACGATCAAAGACTTGCAGCAAAAGGACAGCGCAAAGGTGGTCTATTACCAGACGAAAGTACAGGCCAGCAAAGAACAAAACCTCGCTCGCTTGTCGAAGACCGCACCGAGTGCTGGTTCTGTCTGTCGACGCCAACTTTAGAGCGTCACTTGATCGTGAGCATTGGTCAAGAGGCGTATCTTGCCATGCCAAAAGGTGCGATTTGCGAGGATCATGTGCTTATTGTACCCATAGCCCACGAAGCCTCGACGTTGAATTTGAGTGATAAGACGTGGCGAGAAATGGATCGTTTTAAAGAAGCGTTGCGGCGTTATTTCGCGTCGCAGGAAAAGGAAATACTGGTATTGGACCGTAATGTAGCAACACTGGGAGCTACACATTGTCATTGGCAAGTCGTGGGCATACCAAAAGACAAAACGGGCGCTGCTCGTCGCATTTTTGAATCTGAGGGTGAAAAATACAACGTGAAATTTCGAGAGCTGCTCGCAAATTCGACATCTGATTCCATAGAAGGAACGGCAGGATTACTTGAGTCGCTACGTCAGCAAACAGATAACAAACCATTCTTGTACGCTGAAGTGCCTGATGGCGAGAATAGATGCACGCGATTATTGCATCACGTTGAGGGCAAGCACTATGTTCAGTTTGGTCGCCACGCAGTGGCATGTTTACTGGAGATGCCACGACGCGCAAATTGGAAGTTTTGTGTTATCTCCAAGTCTGAGGAGGAAAAACTGACGCAATCATTTAAGAACCAGTGGAAACCATTCGATTTCACCCTTGAAGAAGATGAATTGAGTGAAAGAGAAGAATAATAGCATAAATGTAGTTCGATTGGAATAATACGGCAGCTAGACTTGTACTAAGCTAGCATACGGGTCGATAAGATAGAGAATCAGGTCCGCTAGCTAACGGGTCGATGAAATAGAGAATCTTGTCGCTTGCTTCATTTAGAACTCTTGTCTTCCACCACGACATTCCATACGTCAGGCTTGCTCTTACCTTTCGTATCAGAAAGTGTAGAGTAATTGATCTTCACGGCAACAGCTTGGGCGGGGCACTCATGCACTGATTCGGCAATTTGCTTTTCATAGTCTACACCATACACGTCACACCAAACCTTCTCACCCTCTGATACAGGCGAGAAACTTAAATTATTTCCAGGCATAGGCGTGTGTTGCAATGCGCGAACGGGCGTTGACGAGCTAAGGCAGCGAACTGCATTCGTAGGTAATCGAAGAGACATACGTGCAAACATGGCAATACTATGGTATTAGGTTGATAACTTGAGTGCGATGAAGAGAATTGGTAAGTGAGTGTTTGTGAATCGACGTTCCGGATTGCATCTCTTTGATGTCCGACGTGTTTCTTCATTTGACTTCCTCATATTGATGGGAGGCGTAAATTATAGATTCTAAAAGGTTTTTCTTTTTTAAGAGCACTGGAAACGGTGTTAGCCAGCTTTAAAACATTTATGCTAATTAGGCTTGAAGCCTTTATCAATGAAATTGAACAATATTAACAAAGGTATAGTACGGTACATGCAACAAGTCTTGCGTTTTATCTGCTGTCTCACATTGACAGGCGCTACTTGAAGTATTGCAAGATGCAGGTGTGACGCAGGCGAGCTGGTCAATTAGTAGGCTAACATGACAGGCGGGCATTGTTACTCACATTCTCTATGGCGGTATATTTAATCCGGAGTAATAATTTGGATTGGACGCACCACATTGCGTTTCACAGAGTAACTAGGACTGATGTGAAGCCATCTTTTACTTAATTTCATTTCTTTGTAGTCAAAATCAATAAAACTCTTCAAGAGTGAAAAAGAATATTGCTTTCACCTTTCCACGGCAGAGTAAGCTTTAATCTCCTTTGACATGTCTGCAACGACAATCCAGTTCTGATGGTACGTAGTGGTGATGGCATTAGGACTTTTAGGCAACGCAAATTCCGTCACTAAATATGAATTTGAGGATAAATGATCACCACTTATCATAATGTCGGGGGTAAGTGCAGCCTGGTAGTCCCATATACACACCTTCGCATCATTAGCAACAGACACGAGACGGTCCTCAGCACGAAATGCAGGAAAGTGAACTTGGGAAACCATCGCACTATGGTGTTCTAAACGGCGCACAATTTGCTTTGAATTAAAATTGACAACAGCTATGCTGGCATCTCCTAGACCCGCAACAAATGACTTGCCATTCGGTGCGAATACTAATGAGTGCACTAGTGGTGGATTCACCATTTGTTGGGTGCCTCCATTACGAATTTTGGTAAGAGCGCTATCACCCAATCCATTTAGCCCAGTATTAAGGTCAATACTAAATTTTAGTCGACCGCGAGAAAAATCCCAAAATAACAGCAGCCCATCCATTCCTCCCGACACAAGGTCCCATGGAGCGTTTGGACGAAAAGGTGCTGCACTACAAATATTGGTGTGCTGGCCATTCAGCTTCTTGAATAGTTGATGGCTTTCAATGTCATAAACACATATGTTGCCCGCATCATCCGGAGCTGATAAGAACTTGCCATTCTTTCCAGGATGTCGCGACAACGTGTTGATCTCGTCTTCATTCTGCTGAAATATTGGACGGTCCGTGTGTTCAACTATTAGCGCTGGCTGCCGCACATCGAATGTAAGGACCTTGTTGCCTGCTGCGACATAGATGTATGCACTTTCTGCACCTGTTGAGGCCTCCCCAAATGCTACAGAATTGACTGCACTCTCACCTGAGCCTTGTGTGCCTAGTGCTCTCTTGATATGAAAGCACTTTGACACTCGAGTGGTACGTAGATCCCACAAACGACAAGTACCGTCGTCGCTACCAGATGCAAGAACATTGGGGTGCACACTTTCGTCGCAAAGCAGTGTGTTCACTGAGTCGCAATGGCCCTTAAAAGTTACCGCCCCTTGCGGCATTATTGTCTATAGGAATATTGGATGGACGGTAT